CCTGAGCAGAGGTGACAACAGAGGGTGCTTTGGAAGGAAAAGTTTCATGATTTAATATCAAAGTTATAATAAAACACTCGCTTGTTTCAGGACAGATGGGTGGGTTCATCCTGCTGGCTCAAAGCAGCGAGTCAGGCCCTGCCGACGGGCAGCAGCTTGCAAGAATCACAGAATCATTAACGTTCGAAAGACCTCGAAGATCATCAAGTCCGACTGTAAACGCCTGTCCAGGAGACGTATTTCACCTGGTTTTCCTGGGGAGGGGGTCTGCGACCCCACTGGGGCCCTGCTGTGCGGGATCAAGAGGAGGATCCAACCTGAGCAGCAAAGCCAGCCCCGCAGAGCTCGGGGAATGAAAGCTTTTTAACCTGCCCGTGCACCTGTGGGTTTCATTCTGACTCCACGCGGCCCCCTGGTGAGAAATCTGCAAAGCAGAGCAGTCTTCAGTAACTGAGGGTGGGATGTGGTCATGGCCTTGCTGGACTTGCAAGGACTTGCTCGAGCTCAGGCACCAAGAGCCGAGGAGGTAACAAAGGAAGCAATCGACTTGTGCTTGTCAGACAGAAAAAAAGGGCAGGCCGCACAGCCAGAACATTTGGCCCCTCTGAGCACATACCACAACGCCCACTCCATAGGGCCAAGTCCCATTTGTGACGACACAACATACCATGCCAAGAGCCAATCGACATATAATAATTGACTTAGTCCCACCTCACCAAAAGATTTTCAAATGTATAAAACTGGCACTTGAAAACTCTCTTTGGGGGCAGGAGCCAAGCGAGAACCTTACCTGATGGATGGGTTATGGACAGGTTGACGGGCCTGAACCTCTTTTCCCCCTCAATAAGTGATGCCTTTTAGGTAACGGTTATGCCTCCAACTTTTTGAACACATCTGCAGGAAAATATTATTAACTAAAGTTCTGAACTACTAACATGAGCTCAATTTTTGTAGACAGTGCATTTATCAACAGCAACTCAGAACCTGTGATAACTGTCAGTTGAATAAATTACTTATTATCTCAGCTTTGCTAAACTCTCTCAGTGAAATTCCCTGGGAGGGTTCTGATAAGCAAACATTGATAAGTTGCTACACACCTAACCCTTTAGACAGAAACCATTGACCAAGTCTTGGACTAAGAGTAGATCCAGCTGCACCTAGACTCCTCTCTGAGAGAGAGTTTAGAACGCAAGGGGGTCTGCTCTGAACCTTATGACTCAACAGGAGGGCTTTCCTTTTGCCGCTTATCTGACTCCTTTACCCCTTTTAACGTGACGTGGGACCATGAAAAATTCAGCTGGGAAAAACTGTGCTTTCTAATGAATAAAGAGAGACCTCCCCAGGAGTCCTGCCTCCAGCTCTGGAGCCCTCAGCACAGGACAGACCTGTTGGAGCAGGGCCAGAGGATGTCACAGCCATGATTCGAGGGCTGGAACCCCTCTGCTGTGAGGAAAGGCTGGGAGAGTTGGGGCTGTTCATCCTGGAGAAGAGAAGGCTCCGGGCAGACCTTATTGCAGCCTTTTAGTACCTGAAGGGGCCTACAAGAAACCTGGAGAGGGACTTTTTACAAGGGCATGGAGTGATAGGACAAGGGTAACGGCTTTAAACTGAAAGAGGGGAGATTTAGGTTAGCTATAAAGAAATTCTTTACTCTGTGGGTGGTGAGGCCCTGGCACAGGTTCCCCAGAGAAGCTGTGGATGCAGTGTCCAAGGCCAGGTCGGACGGGGCTTTGAGCACCCTGGTTCTGGTGGGAGGTGTCCCTGCCCATGGCAGGGGTTGGAACTGGATGAGCTTTAAGGTCCCTTCCAGCCCAAACCATTCTATGATTCTGTGATAAGCCCAGGACACCAGAATGGAGTTTGGAATGAGATGAAAAGAAAGGAGAAGGCAAGGGGCAAAGCAAGGAAGGGGGAGCGTTACACCGGCTCCTGCCAAGGGGGTTGAGCAGGGGACTCTCTTTTACATGCTATGGAATCAAAAGCTAAAAAGCACTTTTACGCTGTACATGAAGCTGCAGTCCTGCCCACAAACAGACTATGTTTGTATTTCCTTCCTGCCCTGCAAGCATGTTTCTGCAGTCTAGCGCTAGCTTGCTTTTCCACACTATTTCATTCTTTCTCATCTCTCAAAAAAATTTGTTGAGCACATACCCAGGGCACACTCATCCACTGCTGCACGAGGCTTCTCAAGGCTTTGCAGTCAAGCCCACAGCCATCCCTGCTCTCAGTCCTTTCACTGTTGCCCCAGTCTCAGTGCCTTTGCTGCAATTTTGCCCCAAGGAGGGAGGCAACAGCGAGGAAGCTCCAAAGTGGCCCCCTGCATGGATCACTTTCACAGGGAAAAGTTGTGAGACAGTATTAAACCATAACTTTAATTATTTCATCTGAAAGTTGTATATGGTCACAATTTCAGTATAAAATTATTAGCTTTCATGTGCTTTGTCAGTACAAAAAGGTAAGAAAATTGAATCTGGTATTGCAAATGTTGGAAATGAAGATACGCAGATCGTGGCTTCTGCATGGGACTTTCTAGCTTGCTGTCCTGCTTCCCAGCTTCCAGAACTGTATCTCTGACTTTGCAGCTCTAAAAGCTTAATGGAACACCAGCTTTTCAGACTAAACGAGCAATGACATATGTAAATGCTAGAAATTGGGGGATTTCTTCTAAACTATTTTTTTTAATTGTCTCTTTCCTCTGATATGCTCTGGCCACTGGAAGAGTGCCAGGGAGAGGGAAGTAATAGCTCCGGAGGGCTGGGCTCCCAGCAAAAACCGGTTTTGAACATCAGAGAGAGCTAGAACGGTCCAATGAAGTCTGTGGACACTGGTTCTTCATCACAGGAAACACAGAGGAGAAGAAAATAAAACTGGCAGAGAAGAAATGAAACTAGCAACAAAGTACGTTTCATTTCTTCTAGATTTGAATGAAGAGGGCAGAAGAGAAAACAGGTAACAGACTCTGGATTCTTCGTACCCCATTTCTGCTGCGCATCATTCTGGGACTTCAATATTCAAGGATTTAAAATTGGTATTTCAAATATTGATGTTTTAGCCCAGAGCTAAGAAGAAGAGGTGGGGGTAAGTCCTTTTCTCTGTCACGCTAGGGGAGTCTGAGATCTCAGCAATCAGCCAGGCTGTCCTGTTGCAGCTAGAGGGGTGCTCATGGAACTGGATGGGAAAACTCCTCTATCTGGGAGGAAAACTTAGCCCACACTAACATCCTTGCTGCTTTAGTTGTACCATCACTCAGAGCTTCGGGGAGCAGAGCAACGTTCCTCAGCAGAGCTAACTCAGAGGAGAGGCAGAGAAGGCAGGAAAGCTGTCTCCTGTATCAGATCTGGAGGAGATGCTCGTTGGAGTTTTTGTGCCCTGAAGCTCTCTGGCTTAATATTTGGCCACACGGAAGGCAAATCTGTGCCCCTGGAAATAAGCTGCGCTCCTGTCACAGGCAAGATCTCTCGTAGGCACACTTTCATTCATTTCCAGGTGCGTTTGTACCACAGATGTGTTTTGTAGCAAGGGGGGTGGATTTCATTGTCAGGAACTGGCTTAAAAGTGATGCAGATGCAGTTTGCCACCATTTCAACGCATTTGCCTGTAGTCTGAGTACCGATGGCAACCAGCTGAGATTCAGCCATCTTACTAGCAAGAGTGGCCAAATAGAGCTGAAAGTAGAAGGGTCAGTTGTTATTATTTGTTAGTTGTTAATCAGTAAGATTACTGGATTCTTAAGAGGGAGGTGAGGCTTAGCACAGCCTTTTCAGTCATTACAGGGGAAGAGGAGGGGGTGTGCAGTCCGGGAATATGCAAGAGGATGGTGTTGAATGGAGTAATGAGCCTGGCTGTAGAGGAACTATTTGAGGCTGCTTCTGTGTTCAAGGGGAAAGATGGCAGCAAGGTCCCTACCTCCCCTCATGCTCAGGGACAGAAAAATAAACACCTGGGCACTGGGGACAAATTTGGGTTTTAAGCAAGCACTCTGTTTTGGAAGTAGAGGAATATCCCTGTTGCTCTAAACTCTGTGACTCGGTGTATTTATTGTTCAAAGGATGGCCACTGTTTAGCTAATGTTTTTGGAAATCTTTGGAAGATTGATGTAAGCAATTTTTTCACAATTGTTTCAGGCCCAGAATGGCTCTTGAAGAGGATCAACAGCAGCAGAAATTCTGGCTTAATTTAGCAACAAAGTATCCTGAAGTAGTTTTGTGTGTTGGAAAAATATGTTTTGGTGAGAAAGCAAGAAAAAAGATGCCAAAAAATTCCAAACAAGACCAAAAATACACCCTTGCCCGTGCAGTGTGTGCCTTGCTAAACTCTGGAGGAGGTGTCGTAAAAGCAGAGATTGAAAATGAAAACTACGACTTAGAGAGAGATATGATTGGACTAGATTTAGAAGAGACGTTTCGGTCTCTTCTTTTGTTTCCAGACTGGAGAAAATACCTGGACTTTGAACAGCGAGATAATTACCTATTGATTTTTATTAAAACCTGGAGCAGGAAACATGCATCTTTAACCTCTACAAGTTCAAATCCACGTATCTGTAGCCTGGGTACTGGGCTGTACACAAAATGTGGTGCTTCTCTTTCCCACATGAGCCCTGTTGAAGCTTTTGTGTTCCTTAAAGGAAAGCAAGATGAAGCCAGGAGAGAGCGTAGCCCAGGAACACCTGCTAAGAACAGGAAGACAAGGGCTGTTGAAGGAGACACAGTTATTAGAAATAATACTGTTGCCCAGTTGTTTGATAGGGACCAGCTGCGACATGGGGAGACATTGACATTCACAGAGTCAGGAGATGTGGAATTTAAACACTATTCAACTGAAAAATTTTTGACTCGTGTCAAAGAGATGTTACCTCAGTATATCGCTGGATTTGCAAACACACGTGGCGGGTATTTATGGATCGGTGTGGATGATGACAGCAGAGTGCAGGGATTCAGCAGTGATGATGAGGAACTAGAAAAATTAAGTCTCCTAATCAATTCCATTCAAAACAAATTAACCCTCTTCCATTTCTGCGGGAGTGGATATACACACAACCTAAGGTATGAACACAAAATCTTCAAAGTGTACCGCCAGGCTGGAGATCACTGTGGCTACGTCTGTGCTGTGAAGATTCAGCCATTCACTTGCGTCGCGTTTTCCGAAGACCCGGACTCATGGCTGCTGGAAGGCAGCACCATCAGGAGACTGAGAGCGGACGAGTGGGCTGCGAGGATGACCGCTGCCGATCCAGGTCCAAAAGAGCCAGGACAAACCCATTCTGGTTTCGATATTTCCTCTTATTTTCTTGCTCCTGCCCTGGCAGTGTTGTTTGCCTTAGATAGTCTTACCTGCATTTCAGTGTTCTTTGGGCGCCTGACCAAACCAAACAGTTTGACTGCTTCAGGTCCTTGCCAAATGCCTGTTCACAGGCAGAAGTGCTGCTCACATTCCTTAATGCCTGCTTCAGGCTGCAGCAGGTCCTGGTGACTAGCAGCTTGTTAACGCCAGTCTTAGTGCCTGCTTTTGCTGCATGAACTCTCCTTGCCTCAAGTCGACTGCTTTTGAAGTTAGCTCCCCGTGCGTGGTTCTTTACATAATTGCTGTAGTCTGTGGCAATCACCATTTGCAAATTGCCATTTGCTTTCAGGCTTAATCCCAGTCTAGCAAGCTGAGAGCTATCAACAGATAAATTGTTGGTTGGCCTATTCTTGGGCAGTGAAAGGGGTATCACTAGCAGAGATAGAGGTCACAACAGCAGCTAATGAGATAAGGAAACCGAGAGCAGTTCCATGGTCCATGGCCTGAGCCTGTTCTGTTGCTGATCAGCTGCTGTCCATGTGAGTTGCAAGGCTCCTGTCTATACATTGCATTTATTATTTTAAAGAAGAGCAAAATATTTAAAACCAGCATGAGGACAGCTTGTGGCTCTTGCACGGAGGGACAGCAAATGCTCATGCTGTATCACATGTTTTTATTTCTTTTTTTCCAGATCTTTCAAAGTTTTCCGAGACCTTTAGGCTAGAGCTCAGTCTGACAGAGGGGCCACCTCTTGCCAAGCCAGTTTATTCACACCGGGGCCTTGACAACGTTGATGATCTTTGTAAGCAACTGTTTCCAGGTAGGTCTGCATATTGCTTTCACTGTCTGGTAGGTTTACAGCATGAATCTCAAGGGCATGGTCAAGGTTAAAGATGAGTTTGAAGACATTCTTTGAACAGGTGAAAGAGATGGAAGTAGTTTGCAGATCTGACAGCAACGCTGCATTCAAATGCATGATGACCCCCTTCCCCATGGACTGATCTTCTGCCAGCTGTTGATCTGTGTACGTGAAGGAGCTCAGCTAGCTGAACTTCTCTGGGGAACAAGCACAGCCATGCCAACATCTTTTTGCAATCCAGTGAAAATGGGAAAGACAGGAGGAGAAGGTCACTTGGAATCAGCCCAGTGTAAATACATAAAGTGACTGGGGCTGGGACCAGAGTGAAGAGTCTGCTGCCAGTTACAGTCCAACATTTCTGTGGCATTGCAACATCAGCCAGGTTGTCCAGGGGCTTCTGTATTGAGCCGTTATTGTTTCTTTGTTTACCCGCCAGCTCTCCTAGGCAAGGTTGGCAACAGCTGGTCCTGTGCTGGCATTTTTAGCAAAGGGACTGAGACCTGGGTAGGAGATGAGGACTGAGTTCCCTAAGCGAGTAGTCTTTGCAAAAGAATCTGGAAACACATGGAGTGGTTAAGGAAAATTTTGAAGAATTAGAAAAGGTATTTCAGGCAGCTATGGTCTGTATTTGTAGCCTTTCACCAACATTAATTCCCACCGAATCATTTCAGACAGTTGGATTTGCTTGTCTTATACTAACACTAACTGTTTCTTCTGCTTTACCTTGTTAGTGAAATCCGACAAAGTAATATATACTCCAGAAAAACTCAGCAAAGATCTCTTCCAAGAGCATCCAGGGTTGGATATTTTAATGGAAAATCAACGGAAGCAGATTTCTGAGGGAGTTCTGATATTTTCCAGAAGCTGGGCTGTTGAGGTTGGCTTGCCAGAAAACCAAGACATCATTTGTGATGTTCTCCTAATAGCCAAGTATAGGCCACCTATCCTCTATACAATCTGTAAGCATCATGTCTCAGAGGATGTGTTTGAATACTCAAGACGCATAGCCTGGAAGCTGAAGGAAAAATTAGTCAACACTGGGGGCTATATTCACAAATTGTGTATAATACCAAAGGTACTGACTTTGCCTCCTGGAATTACCTGTGGAAAAGAATGGGATCTGAATATTCAAGAGATGTATCCTCAAAACTACAGCCTAATCAACAGTGTCAACTTGAAGGCCCTCTTGCGTGCTCTCACAGTAGCTCTGCTGACTTTTAAGTCCTTTTTAAGTGACCATGTTGGTTCTGAGTTTTTGAACCTCTTGACTGTCAAACAATACCAGCTGCTGTCAGAAAATCTTCACAAAACTAAGAAGCTGTATGTTTATGGTCTACCAGGAACAGGGAAAACTATAGTGGCCCTGAAGATCATAAAGAAAATAAAAATTATGCTGCAGTGCACACGAGAAGAAGTTCTTTATGTATGTGAGAACCAGCCTCTGAGAGATTTTGTGCAGTAAGTATTTCTTCCAATTATTCATTTCAATATCCTGTTATTTCACCAGCATTTTTAAATAGCTGAGTACTGATCAGTATAATTGGTATGCTATTTGGTCCACCACCATTTGCTGTGTTTGAAGTGCATAGTTGGGATACATTTTTTAGTAAGGCTCGAATTCTTTTCTTGACATCCTAATAAACATGACTTCAATAGCATGGGTACGCACTTTGTTCTGATCAAGTATAACCAGTAGTTTGCAATGCAGAGATTGTTTTAATCTCCTTCTGTCTCTTCTGTAGACGGAAAAACATTTGCCAAGCTGTGACGAGAGTAGCCTTTTTGAAGGCCAGCTTTAATGATGTGAAGCACATAATAATTGATGAAGCACAGAATTTCCAAGATGGGGAAGGTGATTGGTATAACAAAGCCTTGAACATAACTTCATCACCGAATCTCCCTGAACCTGGCTTTTTCTGGATTTTCTTGGACTACTTGCAGACAAGTCACTGCTTCTCAACTGGTCTTCCAGAAGCAACATGGCATGATCCTGTTGAGTCGTTAACCAAAGTTGTTCGTAATGCTAACAGTATCTATAGCTATCTAAGAGAAGAAATGGAAATGATTGTAAAGCACTCTACCTTAAGTATTCCCAGCCGGCGTTTGGAAGGGTTATTACGCAGAGCCATGTGTGCTCATGCTGTGCAAGGCTGTACTGAAATAGTAAGCAAACTAGACAGAAATGGAATAGTGAAGTATGTGGCAGAACATTGTCGTACATACCTTACAAAGGGTTACTCCAAGAAAGATATTGCTGTTCTGTGCTACAGCGATGAAGAAGTAAAAGCATACTCTGGAATACTGGCATCAGAAATGATGAAGTCAAATATATCATTAAGAAAATTGGAGGGAGGGCTAGAGGAGCACACTATTCTTGACAGCATCCGTCGTTTCTCTGGCTTAGAAAGAAGCATTGTGTTTGGTATTATTCCTCAATCCTTTCCATTTCGGAAACATATTTTGAGAAATATATTGGTCTGTGTAGCGTCCAGAGCTAATTTAAATTTACACTTGTTATTTGATAGCTGAGAACAGGTAGCCACATAGAATCTCAGCAAGGCCCTGATTTTTCAATGCTTATGTATGTTTGAAATTTTTTTACTCTATGTCTGAAGTCAAAGTATTTCGTTTGTAATGGCTTGTCTTCTCTAAAAGCCCAGGTGTTCTTGGGAAGCCTCTACAGTCTATTTTAAATCAAATGTAAGGCTTCAATAATGCAGAGAAAAGAGATACTCTGAATGTCAGTAGAATTGCATCATTCTGTGAAGGCACCCTCCAAGGACATGCAAAACCCGATGCTCAGCCTTGGAGTGTGTGCAGGTGCACTGCCAAGCGAAAGCCACTGTGCCAAGACAGGAAACTGGGAGACTTTCTGGCTTTCACCAGCTCACTCCCATACTCGTAGAACCGCTCAGAAAAGTTACCAAACATAGGCATCCAGTGCTAGAAGCCATTTTTAAAGACAGACTCTATTCAGATATCTAGGAAAGTAAAAATGAGGCCTTCTGTCACGTTTCAGCTAAGAAATAAAATAAGTGGCCTTTACAGAAGTAATTTCCCCACTGAATATCAGCAACAGTCAGTATGAGTTAGAAAAACCCAGTTGCTTTGAAGAGGAGCTTTAGTGGGAGAAGGAAAACTTTCATAACCACCCTTAGACACCAACAGCATTGTTGTTTTGGTTTCAGACATGCTGCTTAAACTCTCTGTATAGAGTTAGATGCAAAGTACTTTTGAGACAGATGCAAAATTCCTAAAACGGGTATCCAAAATTGAGTCATAGAATCATTAAATTTGGAAAAGACCTCTAAGATCATCAAGTCCAACCATCCGCCCAACACCACCATGTCTGATAAACCATGTCCCGAAGTGCAATAGCTACATGTTTTTTGAACCCCTCCAGGGATGGTGACTCCACCACTTCCCTGGGCAGCCTGTTCCTGCTGCTGTTGAAGGCTGGTTGAAAACAAACCATATTGTTTTCCACCACAGAATGACCTGTGGTTCATTTGATTTGGAAGAACAGTCTGATATCCTCCTAGTGTGATCATAAAGCACCAGTGATTTAACTGAATATGATTACAATAAGGAGAAAACATTGTACACAGCTGGAATCACCCTCGAAATAAATTTGCCTTTTAGCTTCAAAATTTTGGCTTTTCTAACTTCAGTAAGCTAGAGGCACTTTTTTTTTTCCTTAATCAACATACAAGGAAAGACAAGCCCAAAGGTTCCTTTCATAATTGCCAAACCTCAACACTTAATCATGCCATGCCTATCATATGAGGATCACTGACATTTAGTATGACCAGAAATATTTTAATGCGCTTGAATTCACATTTAAATCATTGCCAAGTAAGATTATATTTACTATATGCTTAGATTGTCTTCTCCCAGGGGCCTAGAGCAAGGGTCTGTGTTGTCCATAGCATGCATAAAGAATCTGTCCTTGAATGTAAACATTTATACAAAAAAGTTTAATGTCATGACCAGCTGGTGTGTTTGCTTCTCATTCCACTTCTCCCATAAATAAGATATTTTCAGCATTCCCTTTTGAACCAAACACCGTGCCCTGGTGTGAACCTCAGCTTAACCTGTTAGTGCCGGCTCCTGGTACAGCCTTTCATGGCAGCTTTGCCTGGGCATTTGAGCAGCACAGGATAGTTTGCAAGTGGTGAAAGCTCAGCCAGTGCTACCAATTACTCCAGCTTCCCGGGTACGATGCAAGGCTGCAAGTAAGAGTTGCCTTAGATTCTCCATTTGCTTAATAAAGGCAGAACAGGAATTCCACATGGAGCAAGGTAGTGAATTTATTAAGCATTCATCCACCATCTTCACACTTTGGCACACCACTTAAGGCTGTTTAAAAACACCATAAATGAACAAAAAAGCACACAGCTAAAACCCAACCGATTTTCTGACTACAGGACAGAAGGCATTTAACCTTCCCTGTTCCACCAATGCTAGAAATTCCAGAAGTACCAGGAGCTGCAGATGGTTGCAGAACAGACTTCAGCTCAGCTGAGTTTCCTTCCAATAGCCCCCTGGCACATTCCCAACACAACCAACTCTGATTGGGCCTGGAAGCTTTCATCATTATCAGCTGAATGGGGGCAAAGAAAGGATTTACTCCATCTGGGAATTACTCAGATGGACACTTCCCAGGCAAATGTCCCCCTCTTCCTCATACAGTTTCTGGTCCTCCAAAGTTGTCCCCAAACTATTCTGTGCCTTGACAATGGCACTAGCTTTTCCTCACGGCTCTCACATTTCCACATTTGTCAGTAGCTTCCCCCCACCCCCCCTGCATTGAGCCTTTTTGGAAGCTTTTCATTTCCTCATGCCTGAGAGAGAGGTTTGATCAGCCCGTAATCCATGAACCTTGTGAGGCAATCACGTGCTACATTAATGACGTGCTGCTTCTTGCAGTCATCTTCTTGCTTGCCGATGTACGTCAGGATCTCCAGGAGCTCTGTCTCCACCAGCTTCTTCGCTAGCTCTTTGTCAGCACTGATTAAGTTGAAAGCGATGACCAGTCCCCGGTGCTGCACTTTCACGTTATCGTGCAAGCAGAGCCTCTGCAGGATTTCAAGCCACTGCGTGGTCTTCAAGGGAGAGCGAGATCATTAGCATTGATCTGAAGAATACTTCAACCGAGAAAGCGAGTCTGGCAAGGCATTTCTCAGCAGAAGGAAGCGCAGGGACTCACCTCTTCATACTCATGTCAGGTAGGGCTATTTGATTCTTCAGCTAAGGAAACCTGACTCCCAACTTTAGAACCCAGTTTTTGTTAGACTGAAGTCAGAAGCTTTCATGGCACTAGCACCACGTTAAACGTTTCGTGCTTATGCTGCTACATAATCTCTGTGCAAAGAATCTGATCAGAGCATTGACACAGCTGAGGTGACCAGAAGCGGACCACCCACTCCCCCCACTGATTTTACTGAGCCCCTCCTTTGGCTTGATTAATAATTTTTTATTCTAACAAGCCACAGTGCACAACAGCGGGTGCGCAACACAACAGGGTTCATGAATTCTCAATCACAGCTCTTCACAGATAATCAGCTATGCAGGGCCTGAGTTCTCAGCACCTACAGATCTGCGCAGGGAATGGAGATGTTCTGGTGTCTGTAAAGCTCAATAGGTTATCTATCCAGCTCTTCTCATTCCTGACCGCAACAAGGTTTGGGTTTCAGGTTATTTATCGAAAGTTTAAGGGCCTATAGATTAATATTCTGCATCCCTAACCTTGCTTGACAGCTAGCATCCTGGACTTAGCTTGAGGAACAGCTCTGAGATCAAGTCTAGGATAGGCAGGCTGGTTTACTTTGTGCAGGGATGGACTCAGAGCATGCACACCCAGGTCTCATCTTCACCACTAAGTTCCTGACTATCAAACGGGTGGCCTACATAATCCTTTTGAGAGGGATTTTCACGACTGAGCCAGGCCCCTTCCAGGGTATGTCTACACTGCCAATAATCAGACTTATGGTCTTACCACTTCAGTCATCTTAGAGCAGAGTTTCTTTTGTGCTGCTGTAAGCATGGCCAGGGCTCCTGCTGCTGCAACCTGGACTTTCTCATCATCCTCACCACACAGTAATACCCCCAACTTCAGCCGGTCATTTCCATCAGCAACATGATACCCAGAGATAACACATTTAGGAATGCCTCAGCACAGGGGCTCGCCAACTTGTGCATGCAGTCAAGTCTGAGATGCCCAGCGAGTTACCTCCTTGTTGACCACCAGGTTGCACATACACTCCGTGGCTGCCTGTCGAAGTTGGTCGTGATTCTCAAACATATAGTTTTCAATATCGGGCAGGGCCCTCTCTTTGACTATCTTCATCCTGTGTTGAAGAGCAGTCAAATGAAATACATCATGGGACAAGCAATGACCAACTTATAAAATATTAACTGCAGACAGGGAAGGCCTTGAAACAAATCAGTGTCCGCAGCACTGGAGCTCATGACATGGTTCATTCCCTGTCTAACACAGATTAGGTTCATGTCTTTCCTCCTCCTAGAGGAAGATGTGTCACTCTCCTCTTCCTGGCTATTTTATTAACCTTTTAGTTCCGAGACCTTTGTAGCTATGCCAGTGGCACCTCAAACCAACCAGTCTTCATAGTCCTACAAGAAAAGCGATGAATCGAAATTCACATTCACTCCTGGGGAAGAAAGAAGGTCAAAAAGCAGTTAAACTCACCTAAGTTTATCACTTCTTCCTGAAAAGTTAGTGAGACCTAACAGAGCCTCATAATTCTGGAGGCCATCTCTCTCTGTGTTCCAGCAGGCTGACCAGGGGCCTCACCACCTCGTACACCTAAGAAGAGAAGGCATGTCACTGCTTTTTCAGCTCTTGGATCTTGGCAATTTTCATTTGCTAAAGGAATTATCAAGATATTTTTTTTTCTTTTTTTTTTTTTTAAGCTTACCCTCTCCCCTGGGAATGCCATGTCTGGATTGGAGACAGCAGCAATTTTTGCCAGAGCATGAGAAGCCTTTATCTTGCCAACTTCTGTGCCTTCCACAGCCAGAGGTATCAGGGCCTAGTGACACACCAGAAAGCATTCAGTGCCTCTGAAAAGATTTACAGCATGAACTTGGTATACTAAAATAAGTTTAAAAAATCCTAAACATGTGTCTGTTGAACAAATTGGTCTGGGCTGTAGCCCACAGTGAATGTCTTGCTTTTGTTCTCAGATAGGCACCACACCAGAGCTTGTAACTCATGCACAGTTGTTTCAAGAAGATGGCTTCTTTGTAGGCTTGCAGAGACAGGACTGAGTGGCAGTCTGGGCCCCAGGAGACACCAAGACAGCTCATGCTTTTCTGTCACCTTCCCTCACTGTAGACACGTTGCAGGCTCCCAGCTGATATTAACTGGGCTGCAAACATAAAAGTAATCACCTTTCCACCGCCTTGAGCAACAACGGTCCCACGGTCCTTGGGGTCTTCACACAAGGCCAGGAACACCCTGCAGAAGCACAGCATCACTTAGTGAAACAGCCACGTGGGAAGGGAATAACCCAGGTCCCTCATGGAAGGGGGCTAAGGTTTTGCAGGGGGCCCAAATCCACCAGATATTTAGCCCCGTGCCCACGGCATTCTAGGAGAAAGCAACAAATGGCACAGTAAGAAGTTTCCAGGCCTGTAAGATGAACTCTGTTCCAGCCAAAACCAGTACAGAGGACTAGAAATCCAAAATGCATCCTAGCAATGCAGCCCTGTAAGCCAGCTTCAGGGTCAGAATGTGGACTTTTATGACATTGCTTGAGAAAAGCTTTGGTTTTAAATCTTTTCCCTGCCTCCCTTTCATCCCTCCCCTGTAGGCAGAATGCACCACCCTACGAAGCAAGGAGCCAGCCCAGGCGCCCATCTCAGTGGCACATGGGGTGCCCAGTGCCTCCAGCTCCCATGACAGCAATGAAGGCACCTGGCAATGAGCTCCTTGCTCTGGTCTGTCAGTAGGGCACTGTCTGCCTTCACCATGCAGGCCAATGCAGAGACGACACCGGCTTTCAGCAACCGCTTCACCCGCTTCACCACAAAATCCTTCTTGTCCTAAAGGGGGGACATTGGAAAGGGATTAGCCCCTTAGCTGCCACCATCCTGCTGACTACAGCCAAGCCTGGTTGGACAGCAGAACAATTTCAGCCTCAGAGACAGCACACCTGAGGTCTGTGACAATGGATACACCAGAGTCTTCAGATCCAAGCGTGTCCACCTAGCTCCTCGCAGGCAACCTACCTTCGGATGCTCCTCAGGCACATGCTGCTTGGAGAATTTTGCCAGTTGCACCAGCTCTGGGACCAGCTCCTTGGTATCATAGCTGTTGGTACAGTTCACCAGTGCAGAAGCCACAGAATACAAGATAGTCTTGTCGCTTGTCTGCACAGAAAAATAAAAGCTTATGGGAGGGTGAGGGGGACACAGCAGGGAGACAGGTCTCTTAGGACTGCCATCATGGTGGCTTGCACTAGCTGAAGCATTCTTAGGCTTATGCCCAGCTTTATAGCCCAGGGCAGGGAAAACCAAAAGTTTTTATGGTCAAACAGGCTGTTTGACATCATCAGATGCTGTCAACACCTTGATGCCTTTGTTTTTCATGCAGTTGCTGACAGTAAAGGTAAGAGCAACCTCCCTAAGCCTTGGGAGAAGAACAGCGTGATAACAACCTTGAGGTATCTCCATGGCACAGCCAAAACTGATGTTTTTCTAAACTAGGGGTGAGGGATTGGGGTCACAGCTCCTCCTGCCTGGGGAGACAGTGTTGGGCTGGGAGAACTTGATGCTACCAGAGAAATGAGGGAACATGGTAAGGAGACAGACCTTGGCTAATTCAAACATAGCTTGCAGGGCTGGTTCATCTTCAACAAAGTCATCTTTCACATCTGCATCAAGGGTTAGATACGCCAGCCCTTCCACAGCCCATTTCCTGGTGCGGGCATCAATGCTGGTGTTACACAACCATCTGGAAGAGAGAAAAACATCCACATTTCTATCTTGGGATCCAGGACTAATTTCTCTGGGAAAAGAGGGAGAAAAACCAGATATTGAGATGGTTTCAGGCACAAACATGTACTCAGGTTCTGCTGCAGCTCCTGAAGACTGTGGATACTTCCCTTGAGACATGACCCTCCTCCCACGGCCCAGCTTGAGGGATTTAAATGCTGCAGAGAAAGACAGACCAGGACAGCTACTCAGCACTGCTTTGCCTTCACCATCACATGAAAAACATGACGCCCTTTCATCTGGTGCCAGCAGCATTCAGTCACTCCCTAACTTCATCCCACCTCCTTGGTTAGTCCACTTGGTAAATTCACCTTCAAAAGGTACTTGTGCATGTTCTAGACAGCACTTGATTAGGCTGTATCATTCTGCCAAAGAGGGAGGCACCACGCTGGGTGTCTCTCATGGGAAGTGCGTGAGGGAGAAGGCTTATCTGGATATTGGGGCAGGAGGAACACATGGTTGCTTAAGGCACAGAAAAGCACCAGGTCCCAGTGCAGTGGCTCTGGGGACACTGTCAGCTGTCAGGCAGCAACAGTAAATGAAGGCATTGTGTGGGCAGGATCTCTCAGGAAAGGAGCATATTGTATTTTGCAAAGTATGGGACAACAGAAGAAAAAAGTAAAATCACTCACTTTCGGCACTGCTTGGCTAACTTCTCAGTGGACCCCTCAGCAAACTGCCGCAGTCCATAATCTGTACCTCCTGCTGAGCCCAGCTTGCAGAGACCCTGAGAAGGATGAAGGGGATACACCAGCGAGAAAAGTTCATTAATCCTCTAGTATTGCTGCCCCAAAAGAGCCTAATCCCATATCTAAAGTTTGAAGTCAGTTCTAACAAACAGCAAGCATCCTTATTCCCAGTGGACTGTTCAGCTTGTAGCACAGCAAAGTGAGGTTTTGTGCTTTTATTGGATGTCTTTAATGGAAGATAAACCAGTTTTGCCTTCAAAGTTACCAATAATCCGTGTGCTTTCCTGATCTTCCATCTCCCCCTTCCTTGTATGGGGAAGCACCACAAACCACGCCCCATGTCAGGGGAGGGTACCCAAAATGTTCCCAGGACCTCCCCCCTCTCCCAAGTCTGGGGTTAAGCTGGTGAGCATGGCAGACGATAGAGGCAGGGGCTGCCATCCTTACCACCAGAGCTCGGATTTTGATCTTCTCATTCTTGGTCTTCTTGTAGATCTCCTTCAGGAGTGTCACCCCATTGGAGATGATGAAGGTGGCCCGGCTGAGCTTGGTGGAGGCATGGATGAGGGCTTCCACAGCCACCAGTTGGTCAATCTCCCTCTCGGACCCACACAGGGCAACCATCATCTCCATGACTCCCTTCATGCCAAGCAGTTTGTTGCCTAAGTCAAAGGGCCCTTGCAGAACTCCAGACACCATCTGGATGGCATGGAGTGTCTTATCCATGTCCTGTGGGTCAATTTTGCTCCTGCATGGGATAGAGGGATTCAGCATGGGGAACAGTAGTTGCTTACAGTTCTCATTCCCTTGGGCAGGGATCGTCCTCCCTCAGGTCAGGAACTGAGCTCCACTGCTGAAACATGTAGGTATTTGGGACACAGCTGAGCCCAAGTGCATGCAAAGGCTGTGATCCAGCAGGTAGGATCTCCTAGGGCCTCAATTTGGCATCTAAGTGGATTAAGGTGCCTCATCTCATGCTTAAGACCCCCTGCTCCTGTGCCTCTGGACCAGCTCAGCCCCAGTAAGCCAGCCCCGACTCACTTGATGTACTCCTCGCAGATCACTCGGTAGTTGTCACGCTCCGGGTCGCAGCGCAGGTCATCGTAGAGTTTATTTAGGAGGACAGAGGCAGTCAGCTGGGTGTTCTCTGTCAGCGGCAGGCAGTCAGGCATCTCGGGAATCTGGCCCACTACTTTCAGTATCTTTTTTAAGCCTGGAAACAATGGACAGAGACGGCTCTTAGAGGGGAGAGGGTCAGTACAAAACTCAAGATGCTATTTGTTGGTTTCTTGCAAATGAGATAGCCAGCTTGGACTGTTTTCAAGTACTTTGCAGCTGAATCACATAAGCCTTAAACAAACAAGGCACTCAAATATTTACTGGGGAGGAGCTTCTGCTGGTGAGATTATAGGTTTGCAGCATCAGGCTTTTATCAAGCTCTCAGAGTGAGATAAGCAAAACTGGCCATTAGGTCCCCGGCTGCATCAGTTATTTTTGTCAGGAGGCATTAAAGCTACTGACCTCTGAGGCTGGGGCTATGACTGAGGAAAAGTCAATCACTTTCAAGTGATTCTGGATGTCTTAACTCTCCTTTTGCTAAAATGTTATTAAATAACTTCCACCAAAATGGTAACACACATATGCATTGGAATTAGTATAAAAACACATCCCACTCAAATTCCTCACTCCCTTCCAGCTTTCAAAATGACCAGTTTAAGGACCCAGAAAGCTCAGCAGGTGCTCATCTCATCCTAAGCCAGACAATTATCCAAGCCACATCCTCCTAATACTAGCAAATACATTGGAATAAACTAACCAGAAAAGTCAGTCCCTTAGAAACAGGAAAATTCTTCTCATACAGTTTTTTTTCTCTTCATCTTAAAACTGTTTCCTGCTAATAAGTCTAACTTTGCTCTAGGATCACATGCACCAAAAAAAAACCAGAGAGGATTTATGTTATAAAGAGGATCAGTTCTACAGGTATTCAGGTAAGAATACATAGCTCCACATCTCCCAAACCAGAACAGGATGGAGGGAAGGATTCACCATTGTCAATGACAAAGATGGTCCTGCTGTTGTCATGGTCTTTCAGGTCCTTCCTCGGTATATTCTTGTTGAGGAGGTTGAGAGCTTGGTCTCGTCCCTGCCCAGATACTTTCTTACTGACCAGCATATCCAGCAAACGCGTTGTGATCATCCTCAAATCTTTTTTAGTATCTACACAGAAGCAAGACAGTAGCAGTCAGTTACCAGAAGTTATCTTCAAAAGCAGGTGAACCCAGTGAAAACCACTCAAAGCCTGGAACGTGGATATTTAAGTTAACACCATAAGGAAGAGAGCTGCGTGCAGGTTGTCATCCTGGACAGCTGAAGGGTGAAGTCCCCACTTCACCACAGAATGAGGTGGACGTCCCAGGCGCACAGCCCTCCCTGCTCGCCCCGCTTCTCCTCCAGAGAGGCTGAAGGACCAACAGGTCATGGACCATTACCTAGCACTACAGCCTCCTCCTTCCCGTGCTGCTGCTCCTTCCCCTGGCCCAGCAGGCAGTCGGTGATGGTCTGCAGGAGGTTGCAGACAGCCAGGGAGATTTCTTCATTGTCTGCAGA